CATATATATAAGTTAAAAACAGTGTTTTCCCGTCAGAAATTTGAATAAAGAAGTCAGAAACATAGGTTTTCACAATGTATTCATGGTCATTTTGCTGCTTCCGTACACGTGCATACTGCAGTCAAAAGTGATTTTTATATAGCCGATGAGATAACTACCGTGAGATAAAGACATAATTGCTAATCACAATGCACAACGCGACACAGTAACACAAAGAACGGGAGAGGGTGGGGGTAATCACCAAGGCAAAGATATTATCATCAAAGCTGTCATGTTTATTGATTTGAAACGACTATCCTTCGGATTTCACCTTCACGCACAATCCTCAGCTCATCGATTCAGTCATCTACATAGGCCGGACAGAGAGGCACTTACGTCACTGAATGGCCGAACACATCCCGGTGTGGCTTTAGAAAGCGATGGACGGTAAGTTCAAAACTATTACATCATCAAATGAGCAGAAAGGACTTAGATCTTCGATAAAACAACACTTATTCGAACAGAAACATTGTGTCACTTCAAATCACGCATTTCAGGTCATCCACAAGATAACAAACACAAAGTTACTGAAATTTGCCGAGGCTCTAGCTATTCATACCCTTGGACCCGATCTATGCAAACTACATGAATGGTTAGTCACACTAGGTTTGCCTAAGTGATTAACCCCTTACCCTCTACTGTTCTTTGTGTTACAGTGTCGTATTGTGCTTTGTGATTAGCAATTATGTCTTCAACTCACGGTAGTTATCTCACTGGATGTATAAAAATCACTTTGACTGAACTATGCACGTGAGCAGATGCAGCAAAATGACCATGGATACATTGTGAAAACCTATGTTTCTGACTTCTATATATATATATATATGAATATATATATATATAATATTATTTCAAAAGAGAACGTTTCAAGAGAAACGTTAATGGAATGAATGGGATAATTGGATTATCATCTTTCGATTCTCCTATCTGCTGTTTGTGCGTCCACCAATCCTCACGGGTTTTGCGAGTGCAACGCAATCTTAGTCTATCTTGACATGCCAGTTGAACGAATTGACCGAGTGTAGAGCTTCGATAACTAATCACTGCTCCTTCTTCTTTGGTCGCACCGCGACCTTTGCGTTATCGATCGCGATCTCGTGACGTGTCCGTGCGCAGTAGTTTCAGATTTGTGACCTCGGGTCAGCGCGTTGGCAAGTAAGCTCGTGTTCGTATAGGCGAGTGCGTAGTTGTTTGCCTGAATGTAGTGGTGGTTGCAGCCCAAGCACGGGATTAGGTTCGTGCTGTTCAACTCCTTGCTGTTGAAGATAAACGATCTCACCGTTACTACTGGTTTCTGGACTACCTTGATTCCCAACAGTCGGAATAAGCGTTCGGTAGCTTCTGATGTGCCGCGTATGTACACTATATAGGGCATGTATATATTCAATATATAATTTGCGATGAACTTATTATCTGACAACCGAGAAACAATAGTTCAGTTCAGTTTTTGTAACCATTAAGCATGCACATTTGTACGCCCGTTTTGGTTATTGTCTTTTGATTGCTCGTTTATCTAAACGAGCAGAAGAAAGATTGGAATGTTGAGTGCAGAGTCAAGGAGAAGATGATAATTCATATAGATTGAGGGTACAAGAATAGCTAGTAGATACATTAACGCCACTGTTTGCGACACTCAGTCATACTGTAGCGAGAAGGCGAGCGGGCTGGGAAAAACGTCTATTGATCCAATAGATCCAATAGACAATATCACCTAGTATCTCAAACCCCCGGTTACCACAACCTCGAAGTCTCTATTAAGAGAGCCTAACGGGACCTATGTGACCGAGAAGCAACACTCTATTTTTGTTTTGTCTTTGTTTAGCTTTGTCAAAAACGCAAGACTCTATCTGTAAACTATGCGGTTAGAAGTGGAATCCCTTGAAATTGAACAGTACAGTGGATGATCCGCATCTTGTGCGCATACACATATTATTTGATCAGAAACGACCTCATTTAATTTATGGAAATCATTCAATTATTTCACCAAAGACTAACGGATGCAACTAATGACGGCTTTCTGAACTCCCGAAAAGTGAAACTTAAACAGGAAAATTAGTACACAGAGCAATCGGCTGGATGTTCACTCTTGGCCCGGGTTAAGTATGGGAAGGTAAACAGATTCCAGCTAAAGTGTTTGAGTCAGTTTTCTTAACGGTTTACAAGAATGGCGACAGATCCTCTAGTGAGAATCGCAGCGGAATCATTTTCTTAAACATCGTCTCTAATCTTTTCACGGGCATTACATTCGGTCGATTTTCTGCCGCACATGAACCGTGCTCATGTGAGAACTAGGGAATTTTTAGATCCAGTCGAGGTTTCATTGATCATGCTTTCACTGACTTCTTTCTCTGACCCACTAGCGCTACCTTGCTCGATTTGAGCACTCTGTATTCTGGAGATACTTTTCTTTGAAGTGTCCCAGGGAAGTTTATTTTAAAATTACGGTCCCATTATATCCAACAGCCAAAGCCAAGTTTGAGCTTTCAGCTCCTTGTCGCTGAGTTCACCGCAAAAAGCGGTATTCATCACTGTTGTCATTTCTCTCCCCTTTTTGTATTCAACTTTGCAATGGACTTACTTTGGAAAACAGCTCTACCCCCATGTGAGGATAATTGTATTGATGTGCTACCGGGTGTGCGGCTATCTGATGTGGAGTATGCGGACGACACTGTACTGTTAAGTGAGGATCCAGGTAATTTGCAAGCTTTTCTGGAGCTTGATCTTTACTGTAAATATGTTCATTTAGCATATTCAAAGTGCAAAATTTTCTACAGGGCTGGGTTGGTTTAACTTCCAATTCAACTTTAAGTAGGGAAGCAATGGCGTTAGCAGATAAATTTGGCTATTTGAACAGATATATCTCACCTCGCGGGCGCTTTACGGATGAAATCTCGGCAGATATACAGAACGCCCAGTTGGTGTTTACGGGCGCCATCGCGACACCCATTTGTCTGCGAAATTTCGGTTGTATGCTGCAGCAGTTCCACAGGTGTTGCTTCATGGTACAGAGACTGCCGTTACGGAACTATCGGCGTTCGAATACCAGTGTCCACACTGGATCACGAGTCTGATGGGGTAACCGGACAATCAATGCTGAATTTAGGTGCTGAGGTTTGGACAATCGCCGTTGTCTATTAAAGCAAGTGCTCGACCTCCATATATTGTGCTGGTTGGAGTGTGCTGCGCAATCATCGAAGAGGTTGATTCGACTCGCAACGTTTACGAGGCAGGTAATATCCGGAAGGGGGTTTAAATGAGGAAAACTAAGACTTGGTCTGATAGTTTGATCGAACTGACTAGGAGGTCGCGTTAGGTTTCCATGGTCAGGAAATCCGGGATCATCCTAACCAGCGGTAAGAGACACTGAGTGCCATGTCTGTGCCGTAAATTGTGGTGATCGTGCATTTGATGCATACTCTTGACATCATAGTATACCTGGATTTGGTGATTTCACCTTGAAGTTGCTTCCAGCATTCAAATCTTTTCGCTACTGTTTAATTCAAATGGGTAGACAAGAGACAACAACCAAAACCACAGCACAAAAGTACGTGATTTATGGTTGTTTTAACTTAATTAAATGAAACTAAGAACAGGTCCAATTAGATGTATAATACAATGGATAAAAAAATATAACTTATAATTTCAATAGTTTGTGAGGTAGAAGTGCATGAAAGAGTAGAACGTATGTGTAAGATCGTGCAAGAGATCTGTGAGAATACATAAAGCTTTTAAAAACACCTTAAAATATATCTTTCTATTCAAACAAATATATAACAGATAGTAAATAACTTGGAAAAGGCCCTTATTTTTCGGCGAATGAAACGGTTGTATAGGTTTTCACATTGTTCACTTCAATATTTTTTGAGACGTAAATAAATGTGAAAAGAATAGTATTGTATTAGCTTACTAGAGTGAAATGATAAACCAAAGGGATTGTCTTCTCTATCCAGTGAGACAAAATTTCTTTCAGAAATTAAATTTCTGTTGTCTTCTGTCAACACTCGCGGGGTTCCATCGATCTACACACTCGACATTTATCGAACCTGAACATTATATCGTATTCCACATCCAATTCAGAGGTAAATTAGACTTTATTTCAATAACCACTTCATCTAACAACGACTGTACTTTTCTGCACATTTATAATTCTTTTCAGATTTACCAAGCATTTCATCCTG